CAATCGGGCAGATGCACGCTTATTTCGTGCGTTCGTGAAACTTCCTGCCTGAAACCAGGAAAACACTAATCCAAAACATCTAATTTGACGACTTTTCATAATTCGGATTTGCTGAAAAAAAAACACGAGCTTATCTATGAATTAAATCAGTACCTCTTGTCTCAACAGTTCGCCACCTCCCAACGCCTCCAACTGCTCAGCTGTGGCTCCAGCTACGCCCTCAATACACGCCATATTTTGGATGACTTCACGCAGAACAAGGAGATCAAAGCTGTAAAAAGTTGTTGCGAAAGAATGTTAACACAAAGACGGAAGAGATATATAAACAAGAATAAATGACGAGAAACCTTTTTTCATTCTTCAGTTGATTCATGACATAATTCAACATTCCTGCCAGTTCGACGTTGTACTTTTTGTAGACCGCACCCACCTGAGGAGACCGGGATGAAAACCGAATGATTTTTATAGCAAGTAATTGGAAGAAGATAAAGCAGGTGAGTTTCAGAACTCCCCGAAATTAAACAGCATTCAAGCGTCCGATAATTAGCTAAAAAATTCTGGTATTGGTCAAGATGAGGTCATCACGAGACAGCGCAGAAGTCCAGAGTCACCGGTCGTAGGAGAGCAGGGCACATTCTCGCGCTGTGGGAAACTTTGTCAAAATAAGACGAAAATAAAATTTTCTGCTTCGGTACGAACTCCTTTCACAACCTTCATTCCCCCTCTTCAACGTTTTCCAAAACTTCGCCGTTCCAAAGAGAGAGGTCTGCGGAGTGGATTCTCACCTAGCTGGGATGCGCGGGGTCATCGCGACCCCAGAACGCCATGCAGATGAGAGAAAGCAGGCAAATAGAAAACTGAACTAAGGGGCCGCGGTTCAAGTAGTCCGTGAGCCTAGTATTAGTAACCTTGTCCTCTCCTCACAAAATAAAAGGGGAGAGAGTATACAGCGCCCGCGCGTGTGAAAAGTCAGGGAAAAATGACGAATGGAAATTCTCGACAACAATAAACTTTCCAGGACCCAAACGCTGTTCCCTTGTGATGTGTCCGGGAAAGGAGGGCGTAGGGCCACAGTGACTGAGAATTAAACACATCTTTACACCTATAATGTGGCAATTGCACACTTGTCTACTTCCAAGAAGAGTACGATTTATTGCTAGTACAACCTGAACCAACCAAAGTTGCTAGAGCTTGCAGCCATGGACTTAGTTTCCCATCCGATGCTTTCAAGCTGCTGTTTATCAGGACTGGCAAGTTGTTCAATAATGCAGTCTAAATGAAAAAAAATGAGCAAGAAACGAACGAATGAACAAAGGTGACTGGGAAATACTCACATGTCAAAATATCAAATTCCAGATTCGTGAGAAATTTCAGGCTCTCCACAACTGGCTGTATCAAGTTGTCAAAAGTTTGGACCTGGATAACGCACAAATTTGGTTTGCAAGGATCACTAAAGAAGGATATATTGTTACAAGATCAGCTGTATACCATCTGCGCTGTACATGCATAACGAAATTCCTTTTCGAGAGAAAACAAAACAGAAACAGTGGGAGAAAGGATGAAAGTCAATCGCAAGTGTAACGAGTAGGATTGTCGTAAGTATTTGCCCAGATTTTTGCCACTGCCAGTGGGCTTTCAAAGATGTTCTGAGCAGCCAAAGAATAAAAAGCGGATAAGGTTATCCACTCCTGATACTTGCCTTCAGAAATACGATTAGCCACATTTAGAAGGTGGAGTTCGCGTTTTAGATGCCTGTATCAGAGCGGCAGATCGGTCTAGGACACCACCTTGAGAAGAAATCTCGTGATTGCATATTGTGGATAATGGCGTTCTTTTGCAAACCTATGGTCGCTAAAAGACTCTGCAGAGAAGAAAGAAGTAAAAAAAACCATGGAGAAGAAATTAAGGACTCCGTGCGCCACTGTACGAGTTTTACGAATCAGCTCTTCATGCAGCAAAGCAATACCCTGCCCTCCTCCCACCCGTGTTTCACAACGAAAAAAAACAGTGATGAGTTGCAGTTGAAAAAATGGATGAAGAGGACTTGAACTCCGCTGAGTTAGAAAATAACTTTAGAGTTTTTGTTGTGGTCGGGACAGCGAGGAAGAAGACCCCCTCATAAGAGCAGCAGCCATTCGTTTTTTTTAAACTTTGGACTTTAGTGGAAGCCAGCGAAGGCGAGAAAAATCTAGGAACGGTTTTGCGCGAGGCCTGTCTTAAAATGGTAGAGAGGGAGAGGTGGAGAGCGGCGCTCTTCATCTACTCTATGCCGCATTAGGTGGAATCGAATAAAGAACAGGGAAAAGTAACCGCCATAAACAAATACTGATCTACGGCTGACTTTAGTATCCCGGTTAGGAATACTTTCGATATACCATATCAAAACTATTCCTAAACGGAAACTGACTTGACTGATTGTGCTACTGCTGGTGAGCATATCAGACGGAATGGTAAGAAAGAACTCGATGACCGTTTTTCATGTTGTTCATAATAAAATGAAGAGGCATGGAATTAATTCTCACAGCCGAACAAACACAAATGCCATAAGAAGCGGCAGGCTATCCTCGACACAAGCAAGTAGTACCTGACTGAGAAATAGTCGAAACAACACGGGTTTATTGGTAAATGTGACACAGTCCCCAACTGCGACCCATCACTCGCACAGCTCGTCGCTATCGACAGTCTCCTGATGTTTCAGATATCATAAATCCAAAAACCTATCTAGGTATCTTTTGATGAAAACGCCTTACTTACTTGAGCACATATTTTGTCCTTCCTAGAACTTTGCCGCGTACGATATTCACTTCCGGATGGCGGACCGTGTTGGCAAACTTCCAACTGTAGAAATATGATGTATAAGCTCTATCTCACATTATAATGTCTTTTGGGCGTAGTTCGGCTTGGTGGGGGCATTTCTCCGACTCCCACCAATCATTGCCGATGATTTGCGCGGAGAACTGTGAACACTTTGTGAAGCCAGCAATAGCGCGAGCTTCGTTTATACTTGAGAAGAGTCTACAGCTCTTACAACGATGAGACGTGGAATAAAAAAAACCCAGCGAAGGCGCAAAGTTTTCACCACTCCACCCTGAGCCGAACAGCGCCATTTCTCGTTCCTTATATGTATTAATACAAGCGATATTCTGCAAGACTCACTGCCCATCACAAGACGAAATATCGCCATGTGTACAGGGGAGTGAAAAAAATTGAAAGCAAGGTCCACATCTTCTTCGCGTTAAACCACTGTCTATACTCCCGAACAACGATAGACGAAATAAGCGTGCATCTGTGCCCGATTACGAGATGCTGTTTTAACCGGTGACATTGCTGTTGGGCTGTGCATCTTAATTGCTCAACAGAGGGAGTGTGTTGTGTATCAAGAAAGCTCCCGTCTACCACTCAAGCTGGTTGGGGAAATGGTAGATCAGGTGAGTAGTTCGTTTTCCAAATTCATTCATCATAAGATTGTCGAAGTATGCTTTGGCAAGGATTTCCTTTACCCGAGAACATGGTGATGTCTTACCGTTATGTTTAGTGGCTCCATTCCTCTCCAGAGTCGTAGGAGTAACATCGCTGAAGTACACTCGCGCTTTCTGCGGAGCTCAATTCCACGTAGACTTTCACTGACGTTATTTCGTATATCACGTCGATGATATTGATGTGGTCCTGTCTTTCAAAATGCTGAGAGAAGTCCTCGACTCTCATAATTGTACTCTAGTTCGCTGTGGATGAAAGGTCGTGGCAGGCAGTATGATTGTGCCACGGCGCGTAACTTGCCAGTTGTTGAATAATGCGACAACAGTTGATAGAAAGTGAGTGATACGAACGATATGATACAGTCTTGTCACTTGCTCGCTTCCAACAGCTGGTGGAGAACGGGTTTGGCACCGCGCCAAACTCATCCCGCTTGACACACCCCTTCGTCCGCCACGATTTAGCCTATATTTAAGTGGACTCGAAAGTGGAGATGCGAATATTACTGTTATCGGGCATCTAACGTGAACAGATCAGTGGTTCGCCCTCCTTTGTTCCTCCTTGAGAATCTTTTTAGAACATTTGCCCTGGTTTTGCGCCCCCTAATCCCTATCCTGCCGCTCAGCGATGGTGCTGGCAGTCGCCTCTTCTTTTTTCCTAACTGTCATCGCTCTACGCCACTGACTGTGGTCATTCTATGCCAAGCCTTATTACGTACACCTGCTATGAACATCTGTTTCAGTGTCGTGACACACTACTGCAACTGGGCACTTTCCTATGGTCTAATGTTCGAACGGATGATTATGCTCAACGGATTCCATCAGCGATCTCTTTAATACAAGATTATCATCTTCGTATCGATGCTGCCATGTATCTCACCAGACCGACGTACCTTCCCAAGGCAGGTTATTCAGATATTGTTAGAAACGTTTGGATATAATTGTAAGTAAAAATCATTCCATGCAGATGTAGTAAGATTAGACTTGGTAGGCGTCGCCTACTTTCAGTAGCACAAAGTATGGTCTAGGTTTCAATATAAAGTGAACGACGACTAATCAATCGAGAAAGGTAGCCCTGACGATATTTGCCCGATACTGAGGCCTTCCTTTGCCGGTTTTGTCCACCCTTTTCTTCACTACTGAGTCAGTTGTCATCGCAAGGTCACATTTGTAATCCAAATCCACGAATTATCATAGTGGCATGTGTCTTCAAGGGAGTAGTATTCATACTCTATAGTATTCAAATTGGAAAAAATCCGTTGACACCTCGATTAACTCGTTCTAAATAGAAAAAAGATCAAAAAACATTTCGAATGTTTTCACCTCTGAGTAGTGTAGAATGCTTGTTAAGGTTTTTGAAGACGAGTATATTATGACCTTGTATAAGCTGTCAAAGCCTCAAAGTCCCCTAAATGTCAAGGTATTTTCTGACCTATCCGACATTACGAGTTCCTGAGGGGCGCTCCGCCGTAATCGAGGGAGCTAACACCTGCGTTGTCTTCAGGGGGATTGTCGCTTGCCACGGCAGAGGGTCTCGTTTGTATCAGTGCTTAAGGGCTGGAGTTATTGGATTCAAACGTAGGCAACGTATAAGTCAACCACCAGCACTCAATGACGGCTGTATACTCACTTCCCCCCCCCCAACATTTCTAGGGTGCACCTATGGGACAACTTCTATGTTTCTCCGCAATCCCGGTTTCAGGGGAAATTTTCTGTGAAGAACCCCTAATGAGTTGCACCAGTCTGTCAGAGCTCACCAAACGGTCGTGACTAGTTCTCCTCTTCTACACATTGGAAGGACTTTTTCGTGAGACATTTTGGCTGGTAAAGAGAGCAGGACTCCTTGCGCAAGACCATGCAAAGTCACCAAGGATCTCAAAAGAAAAGTAAGACCTGCTCAGCCAAAAGCAGATGTGCATGAAGTAAATATTTCACGGTGTTATTGGTGACACATCAAAATGATGTCACTGGATAGCGGTGAAATCATGCCTGATTTCATTCAGAAAACTTAATTTCTTTCTACACTTCGGCAATGTGAAGAACGCATGTGGCGAGGAAGTCACTCAAAAATATTATGGATCTCGCTCAGGGAAGGCAACCCTCCCCAGCATATTTACCAAAGTTAGCAGCTTTAACTACCACCTCTTTTGATCCCTTCAAATAGCAAAAATTCCGAAAATCAAGGTCTATTTGGAAATGAGGTCCATTCTCTGTTGCAATAGTCCTAGGAGTGGATTAGGAAGCTGTGCAAGGGAGGGCACTAGTTTCAGTTAATAATGGTGATTACCTCGTAGGATTAGAGGCATCTCTTAGTGGAGGAGAATTTGGTCAAGTTTGGAATTTTGATCAGAGTGTCGCAGGACTTTTCTTCCAACCTAATAGTGTAAGTCTGAAAAATCCGAGTTTTCAACGGTTCATATTTGGAACATACTATGGAGATGAAATAGATATTTGGCATCAAGTTTTACTACCTCATCCTATTTTTTCAGATTCAGAGTTCCTACGAGGCAACCAAACGAGCAATGAAATCGGACAGTGAGAACAAGAAAATGGATACTCAGCAAAAGGTGTTTTTTATACCCCGTATTTGCTACCAAATGAGTACCTTAAGGGATCGGGTCTTGTCCTTATGATCATATATTCTATCGCGCTTAACCTTCTTGTAATTGTGGTTTCGAAAAGATTCTGACGTGAGTTTGTAGTGTAGGTATTACAACAATTGCACTGAGGTGAATAAGTTACAAGCTTACAGCGCTCAACGGGTGGGAGTTGAGGGTAGGCTGGAAATGTATCAGTTTTATTGCCTATACAGTGTAATGTGAATGTTGCAGTTTGTGTTCTTCAAGTCCGCATTCGATGAAGTGATCTCAAAATTAATAAAGGAGCTTGAACCTTGTATACCACCGCATGTTTGTAGAGATATCCCCATAAGGTAAGCCTATCCATTTATGAAATAAAGAATCTGCCATGTATTCGCTTTATTTCTGTAGTGTAGTTAATTGATTGCTAGGTTTTTGCGTGATTGCTTGCTCAACCCCTACTACATCCCGAAGATAGTGGATGAAATTCAGGTTATTCGTTGTATTTTGGATGCTTTCCTCGTACGACATTGAAGTGCCATCTGCAGCCTATGAGAGGGCTATAGAAAACATTCGACGGCAGATGAAAGAAGCAGCGGACTCGCCTGTGATGGTAAGAGTGGCTTACTCATTGCTTTGTAAAATACTGCAACATATAATTATGTATTATGCTACGGGAAGTTGTCATGTTTCTTGGAATTAAACCCTCTTTCAAAGGGAAACGTACTAGATCAAACACCCATTATTATGGGGTCCTCACCAGATCTTGAAGCACTTATCCCGTGACTGCAAAATGTAAGCCGGCACAACACAAAGTAGGATCTTAGATCAGTTTCGAGCTGGGCTTGGGTCGAAAGTCCCTATTTCGAAAAACAAGTAGTAGTCGGAAGAGGCAATGTACGGGCTGTACCAGTGCTGAAGGCAACTCGTCGAGCTGTATTACATGAC